CACACACACACACACACACACACACACACACACACACACACACACACACACACACACACATACAGAGGGACATATAATTCTTACTTTACTCAAAAACTGAACTCTGCTCATGTGGAGGAAGCATAAAAGGCCATTAACTTGGTGTAAACAAGGTTCAAATTCCCCCCATTAAAAATCAAATGGCCTCCCCACCTTGGGAACCACTGGCCTAGAACATGTCATGCAATGCTGGATGAGATGCTGGCCTAAGAATAGCAACACCTTGTACATGGAGATGGGAAAGGAGGTGGTGCCACACTTAGACCTTAAAGATGGTTCTTTATATGACAACATATTCTTGGTCTAGAACAGGAATGACCAAATGGTTCATTGTAACTTTCCAGAATTAGCAAATCTGATCAAAAATCTTGAGAAGGCAAAATCAAAAGTCACCCCAGTGTTGCCCTTTGGTGAAGGATATATAATTGCAGTATATCATTTTGGGGAGTCCTGGCATTACAAAGCTGGAGGATCGATGGCCCAAAATATTATTTCATTACAACCAGAGTTGGGTAAGCATCCTTCTTAGGTTCTTCAACAATTGTCTTCAATGAATCAGGAAGGCAAAATATACAAGATCTGCAGTTATTTGTGTTCTTAGATTAGAGGAGGATCAAAGCATGAAAGAAAACTAGATCTTTAAGGGACTTCTCTTTTAATGGCTCAATGACTAAAATATTAGTTTATTGTTAAGATGACTTTAGAGTACAAAGCGGCAGAGCCAGGTTTTAGTGATCCAGCAAGAGACTGACTCGCTGGGAGCTCGGCAGCAGCGCGGACCCTGAACTCGCCGCCAGGCTGCCCACCGGGTTGCCACTGCCGAGCACCCAGCCCAGGCGCGGGGCTTCGGCGGGGTCCTCTGGCGGGGCGGCCGCGTCTCCCCGGCGGCTGAGCGCGGCAGCCTTCCTGGGATAGGCCGGCCCAGGCGCGCTTCCGTTCCGCTCGTCCCCGCCGCGGCCGCGCCCTCCCTGCGCCACCACCCACGGGCGGAGCCGCCCCGCCGCTTCCCCTTCGTCTTCCTGCCTTCGCCCTCCGACGGCCCGCGCTGCGTTGCGCTTCCTCCACTCCGCGCCCGCCAGAGAACCGCCGCCACCCTGCGCCCATGGCTGCTTCGGAGGAATGCGACGGATCGGGCGTAGCCCGGCCGCACTACGGCTGTGAGTTCGCGCGGGCAGGCGGGGGCCGTGGGGGGGACGCAGGGTGGGCGGGCGGCGGCTTCCTTGGCGGCGCGCTCGATCCCACCGGGCTTGGCGGGGCGCGGGGTTTCGGCCAGCGCTCCCGACCCGCCCTTCCGCGCCCAAGATGGCCGGAGGCGCTGCTGCAGCCCCGGCGCCCTGCGCGCCGCCGAGGAGCGGCCTGCTCTTGCGCCCCTTCTGCCCGGCAGATGCGGATCGGGCGCAGAGCCCCGCTCGGTGTGCGCAGGGCGCCGTGGCCGCCCTTGGCCGAACACTCCCGACCCGGTGGCTCCGTCGGCGCGAGGCGGTGAGGGTGAGTCGCCGCCCTGGAGAGGAGCGGCCGGGCCGGAAGGGAGCCAGTTGTCGGTCGGAGGGCTGCCCGGCAGGCGGGTGGGGAACCCCCGGGCCGGCCTAATCGGCGGTGGGGAAGCAGTGCGGCGCTCCGCCCCCTGGGACCTCGCTGCCCCGCCGGGAGTGACCGGGCCTCTCCTTGCAGCTGTGCTGGACAACGAGAGGATGACGGCGGAAGAGATGGACGAGCGGCGCCGCCAGAACGTGGCCTACGAGTATCTGTGCCACCTGGAGGAGGCCAAGAGGTGAGCCAAGGGGCGCAGGCGGGCCAGAGCTGGGCCAGTGGGCGCGAGAAGGCTACCTGCTTGGTCGCTTGCGTTGCCTCCGACCTGGACCGCTGCTCGGAATGGTTTATGACTTTGCTTCCAACTGAAATCCAGCCTTTCCCCGTTGATGCCAATCCAGGGGTTTTAAGTCAGAATGGTGGAAGGCGTTTGTTTGGGGAAGGCTATTGGCACGGGGGTGGGTGGGGGAGCCGTGAGATTTGGGTCTGGTCAAAAGAAAGAAAGGCTGAGAATTCGAGAACAGGTCCTTTGGGCTCAGCGGCAGCAAAGAAGGTTTCTGGAATTTAAATCCATTGTAATTCTATTTGGCATAAAGCTCCTAGAAAGGTTGCCTCTCTACAGTAATTGGCATGAGGAATGGCAATCCAGTTTTATTTAAAATTCTATGGCTTAAAAAGTATAGCTAGAACATTGAAATGCTTTCTTCATCTTTGGAGATTTTGGAAGGAAAAATACACATTGAAGTCCACATTGGAATACTTAATTTTTACCAACCAAATGATTTGGAAAATGAGACTTTATTTGTTACATTATTGCCCTGCCGTTTCATTATAAAAACTGGTGGTAGCAAACATTGCGCTCTTTTCTTCCCATGTTTTCTCCCTGACAACAAGCCAGTGGGGTAAACATGGGGGTTAAGGGTCTCTTTTAGGGATTACCTCTTGGTGATAAGCGTGGCGGACATCAATATTTCCCCTCCCTTATTGCGTTTGCTGGCAGCCATCTCATAGCCCTATTCAGGATGGCGTCCCTACTGGGTAAGTTTTCCCCTGGAACATCTAGGGCAAGCATGTCAAACAGAAGGCCCGTGGGTCACACCTGGCCCACGATGTGGTTAGATCTGGCTCACGGGGCTGCCCCGGACACAGTAAGTGGCTGGCCCCAGCTCCCTTGGCCCATCCCAGGAGGTGAAGAGCGCACAGGTAGGTGGTGTCCAGGGCGGCCCCACGGGCCAGATCTAAGGCTGAATGCCTTCCGGCCCAGGTGGCCATCGCAAAGTTATTATAGATTAGTGTGGAGCCAGCAGCAGTGCAGTGCCCGCCACCAGCACCTCCATGGCTCACTTGCCGTCACAGCTCACACTGGCCCTGCAGCCCACAAGCGCTTCCCTTTCACCAGGACACCTCCCCCACCCCTACCCCCACGTCGGAAAGCCACAGCCCTCGGCAGCACTACCACCTCTTCCCCTCCCTGGGTACGAGAGAGGGAGGGAGGACATGTGAATGAGGAGAGAGGGAGGGAGGAAGGAAGGGAAGGAAGTAGATGGGAATGAGAAGGAGAGAGGCAGGGAAGCAAGGGAGGGAGGGAGAGAGGAAGGAAGGAAATGAGAAGGAAGGAGGCAGGGAAGGAAGAGAGAGGAAGGAAGAAGATGGGAATGAGAAGAAGGCAGGGAGGAGATGAGAAGGAGGGATAGAGAAGGAGGAAAGAGGGAGGGAGGGAGGTTGGAATGAGAGGGAAGGAAGGAGGGTCTGAGGGAAATTCTGCCTTAGTACTTGGCCACCAGCAGCTCTGCTGCCCGTTCACCATCCCCTTCTCCCTCCTCCTGGCCTCTCTTGGTGGTCTCCCATCCTATTGCTGAGGATGCTTTGCTTGCATGGAGAGGGAGCGACCTCCCTCTCCCCCCCACACACACTTTTCCCTCCTGAACCCGCCATGAGCAACCTGGTGAAGGAGAGCGAGTGCAGCAGCAGCTTCGAGGTAAGCGCAACTAGGCTCCCTCTCGGGGAAGCTGGGCTGGGCTGCAGGGTCCCAATTCCCCAGGAGCTTGAGGGCCGGGCTGGATGCTTGCACCCTGCTGCCCGGGCAGCCTTCTAAGGGACCTCTGTGTGGCCTGAAAGGGACAGCGAGACTCTTCTACTGAATGAGGCTTTGGCGCTTTTCCTGGTCTCACCTTCCTCTGCGGGAGACTTCCAGATCTCCCTCCCAGCTTTGTTCAGCCCCCAACAGGAAGCAGAGTTCAATGCTGCTACAGGTGGAAACGCAAAGTTTGCAGGAAGCAGTTTCCTCTGAGTCCAACTTCTGCCTTGACAGATCTTTGGGGGTGGGTGGGTGGAGCTGTGTGTGGGAAGGCTGCCCCAAAAGCCAGCATCCTTACCACACATGCTTGGAAATCGGGATTCCCTTTTGAGAAGGACTAACCTCCCTTTTGCAGGACCAGGGAGTGCTGCTTCTCTGCCTCCTCCTTTTGTTCTTCGGAGACCTGTCAAAGCAGAAGTTGGACTCCAAGGAAACTGCTTCCTGCAAACTTTCTCCTCCGTGCTTCCATACGCACACTTCCCACACAAACACACCATTCCAAGCTTGGAGACTTAACCACATCTGAGGTTGCAAACTGCCAATCATGCCTGTGCTTGTGGAGAAACCAGTGGTGGGTTGCAGGTGGTACGCGACAGTACAGGCATACCGGAGCCAGCCCAGAGCACCGGATACTGTTCCGGTACGGTGCTGCGTGGGCCTACCCGCCCGCCCCAGCTCCTTACCTGAATTTAAAGGCTCATGCGCTTCCGTGCACGCACATCACACATACAGCGCCTACGTGACGCTCCGCAGAGCAGCTGGAGTTTTGTGGAGTGTAGCGGAGGTGCTAGGATGCATGTGTGTACTGCGCGCAACCATGACGACACTACCGGGCCCATTCCAACCATAGTGGTTGGAACGGGATTTGAAACCCACCACTGGGAGAAACCCTCTCCTTTATGGATAAAAGTCCCCAAATGTAGAATGCATTGTGTCTGTGTCTGTGTGTGCGCATGTGTGCGCACGCACTTGCTTGACAGCAGTTTGGGGAGGCGAGCTTGTGGGGCACCAAATTGTCCCCATGTCGAGTTAGCCATGTGACTTGTTCCATTCTGAGTCAGCAGCACCCAGTGCGCAGTGTTGAGCTGGCCGCAGCCACCTAGCCATACCACCTAGTCTCACTGACACGGCTGTGACCACCCAGCCATGCCCACCTGGCCCCTGTGAATTGTCATCGTCTTACATGCAACTGGCTCTTTGTAATGCTGATGCGGCCATCAATGAACTTGAGTTTGACCCCTCTGATCTAGGGCATAGTAAGGAGGGTTCAGATTATCTAATGAATAAACTCCATCACATTTTCCCCTTAATCGAAGGGGTGGAGCCCCTAGCCTTGAGGGTGGGAATGGTGCCACCTCCCTCTTCCCCAAGAAGCCATTCTTGGATCAAACGTTTTTCACTAACTATTGACTGGTCTCCCTCCTTCCCTGAGAAGGAGGTTGATTTGCAACTGATGAGAAAGGAATTTGCAACTTGAAGGAAAGGGATCATCTAGACCTGCTTCTGTCAGATTTCAGGCCAAGATTCAGTACAGAAGCAGCTTTGGTTTTTCTCGTTGATGACTTGTGGTAGAGCTTGGTGAAATGGTGGTGCATAAATTCTTGTGCTCCTTGATCTCTCTAGCTTTCCATACCGTGAAACATAGTATCCTTCTAAGCCAGCTCCATGGCTAGAGGGTACCCTTTTATTGTGACTCTTCTCCAGGGACAGTTTCAGTTGGGGTTGGGAGATTGGGAGAGATCAGTGCCCAGGCCCCTCTCTTCCCTCAACTTCATGAACTGTTAAGTAAGTTCATACATTGGTACTAAAACATCTGTGTCGGAAGTACCAAAGTGTTTCTGTGAAGAAAGGATTTGGTGGGGACTGCACTGTTGCCTGGGGAACACCCAGTTAGGGGCTCCATTCATGTCCCCATGAAGTTGCCCACTGAAGTGGAACCTATCTATCCACTCACAGTTGCCCATTTTCAAACTGCTGGGTTGGCAGGAGCTGGACTGAGTGACAGGAGCTCACCCCACCCTGTGGCAGCAATGATTTTTGAATGTGAGCCTGCCGATAGTCAGCCCAGTGTTCTAACCTCAGAAGCTACTGTTCTGCTATCCAGTGGTTTGGGACTCAGTATCACCAGTACTCCAATGATACACAATGATATTGTTTGACTTTGAGCTATCATCTGAGGCTGTCACAATTTTGTCCCAGGGCCTGGAAACTGGGCAGGTGTAGAAAGGGAGGAATTGTCTCCGAATGTGCCAAGACCTAAGTGGTTGTGGGTGTTTAGACTGCCCAGATAAGCTAGTCAGGCTTGCCTCCTTTCATAGTTCGGGCGCCCTCTTCACATCTTGATTACTGCCATGCACTCTACTTGAAACTGTTCTTGAAGATCACCCAGAAGCTTCAGCTGCTCCCCCCCCCCCCATGGTATTTCAAAGGATCCTGAAGATACAACTTTCCCCATGTTTTGGGGAAATTTCTAAATCACCCAATTGGGAGTTGAGCAACATCTAAACTTAATAAATTGTAATGATCATTAAAATGTGCTAAGAGATCATGATTGTCTCAAGATTACCTATTGACTTTCCAAAGCTGAGGATTGTCTAGACTAGGAGGTCTCCTCCAGGTCCATTGGCTGGCTCTCACTATATCCCTCCTTCATCTTCATTGTACGTGCCAGTTAGGGAAAACGCAGAAACTACTTGAAATACTGATTATATAAGTTGCAATTATATCTTAGCATATTTGAATTTTGGTTCACTTATTCTGTTCTTACATTGTTGTGTTGCATTTTCTGGGCCTCATTAAAGGTCTAAATGGCTTGAGAACAAGATTTTGAAAGGATCATTTCTATACAAGCTGGTCTCCCATCACCAACAAATCTGTTCTCTGCTTGGGCTGCAAAAGTATCAAATTGAAAAACAAGTCCAGTGCCTTTGCTGTTACAGTGGTGTTTGTTAAGGTGTTGATTTAGGCTTTTTTCCTAAAATCAAAAGTGACCTTTTTCCAAGAAGAATCCTCAATCTTTTTAACAAGATTTATTGAGAAGAAAGAATTAGGCTTATAAAAATTCTGCCAGCTGAACTATTTCCACCTGAATCCAGTATCTCCCAGTACATTAGAATGGAGTCTCGCCTTCCTATGAATGAAAGGTCTTTGTACTGACAGAGCTT